TCTCTCTCTCTCTCTCTCTCTCTCTCTCTCTCTCTCTCTCTCACACACTCTCTCTCTCTCTACTTTTATTTGCATTTAGATGTTTCTATTTTGCTATAAATTTATATTTTTTGATATGCGTTTATACCAAGAATATACAGATTTTTAGCACTATCTTCTCTTATGAATCCAACGTTTGTGAAAATGGTTTTAAGGTTTTAGTCTGGATACCTATATAGACTGGAGTCTCGATGATTATTCAAATTCTGTGTAAATAGAAATAATTGTATCCCCTTGTCTTTTCGAATTTTCGGGTCTCGATTGCATTACATATGTTTTTCGTGTTTCATATACTCAAAATCTTTTTTGGCATTGGTGAAAGACTTTAAGAGATAGGCACATTTGGTTGGATTGCTCTCATATAGGAATATTTTACTTTCTGAATATTATGCATATTATAATATTTATAAAATGATAAAACTCGCATTTGCCCAAAGCTGTATGTAGTCTTAGATTCGAACATTGAAATACTTTTCTGAGAATACCTGAACTTGTGAGTAAGGAAACGGGAAAAGAAAGTAACAATGAATTAATTTCTTATATTTTGAAGGAGGATGCACAGGATATACAGGCAATGACTTGATTAATATATTAAATAAAAACAAAAAGTATGCTAAAAGCAACAGCTTAGGTTTTGCTATAGTCTTAGGTTTTGCTATATAAATACAATGCTGCAATAAAATTAGATGTGTTGGGCAGTGCATACCTTTTTTTTATACATACATAAAGCACTTAATGCTAAAGTAAATTCGTTTATCTAAAGCAAAGCTAGATTATAGATTGATATCAGCAACAACAACTTGTCGCTTAGTCAACTGACAACCGTTAGTCCGGCATGCCCGCCCACAGCACTTTTACTTTTGTTTTGTTTGCCAGCCAGCTGAGCTGGCTATTATGTAACGAAAGTCCACTTATCAGTTAGCTGTGGGCAGATGTCAACGCTTGACCCGCCTGAACTCGGCCAGCTGTTTGCATTCTTCCATTGACATTGATAAATGATGTCACAAATGTGATGCGCAACAGGCAACAGGCAACAAGCAACAACTGTAAATAAGCAAGAGCTAAGCAGCAGCAGCAGCAGCAGCAACTCAGCTGTAAAGTGTCTTCCGGCTGCCTGAACAATTGTGGCAGCAGCAGAAGCAGCAGCAGCAGGTGCCAGCTCAGTGTGAAGTGCAGGAGTCTTCAACTTGGCACTTGTTACGGCTGTTGTTGTTGTTGTTTGCTTTATGTTGCATGCAACTAGTTAGTGACTAGACTGCAATCAAGCCCAAAAGATCTTGTGTAATCGCGAGCATCGCGCACATTTGTGCATTGTCAGCGCGGCCAATGCGGCGTATGCGCAATGCCGCCCCATCTAATGCAAATAATGACCGATCTGACGATTGCCAAACAGAATGTGTGCGTGTGTGTGAGTGTGTGCTGCAGCTTCATCTTTACTGTTTTTTGAAGTGCAACAATAACAGACAGCCGCATGCAACAACAGCAGCAACAACTACAACAACAGCAGCATAAACATAAACACAAATCACAAAAACAAGCAGCGTGTGCCCTCCCTTCGCCGCTGTGGCAGCCGCAGCAGATGCTGCAGTCACCTTTCAATTTCGCGAGCCAACAAAAATCAATAGGCCATCATTAATGGCCATTTGGTTCATGGCAGCGCGCATTTGTAACCTTTACAAAACATTTGTAATGTTCGATTTGATTTTTTTAGTTTTGTTTTTCATTTTTTTTATGCCAATTTCGTTTTGGCAGACGCGCGACCCAGAAAGTGTTGTGTACACACATGTGAGCCAAATGCGTTTCATGGCTAATTGCTAGTTGGCCAAGCAAATAAAAGCGCTCCCCCCCACTCTACCCTTCGCCTGGGCTAAGCAACAATAAGCTGATTGTCATTGCCCAAGTAGAATTGGCCAAATGGCCTGCTTTCCGACAGCAGCAGCCGCACTTGGCCCCAGGGCTGATCACGCACACCAAAGCACTTCAGCACCTGTTACACTTGTGCGTATGTGTGTGTGTGTGTGTTTGTTGAATAGGCAGCGTCATTTTTTTAATATGCTGCACGCATGCAAACCAACAATTTGTATGTGAATTTGGAGTGTAGAAAGTTGATTGGTTTTATTTTTGTAGAAGAAGACGAAAAAAATAAAACTTTGTTTCTTTTTGGCCCGAACCGAAAGCCAAGCCAAGCCAAGTCAAGCAATGTGACAAGTTCAGATGCAGATACACATATAAAGATTTATGTATCAAGATTTATATATAAAGATATATATATATATATGTATGTATATCTTTAGCTTCGCCTGTTAGCCCTGGCTGCCTTTCACTTGCAATTATTTATATATATATACATATATTTTGGCCAAAAGATGCGTCTGCAAGGAAAAGGAAACTTCGTGCGGCAGACGAGTTGGCAACTGGCCGAGAGTTACTGGTTTTTCTAGCCAATCAAGTGAATGGCGACACACGAAATATGAATCTCACAGCCAACGGCTGGACGGCTGAACGGCTGGACGGCTGGAGGATGAGTAAACACATCAAAATTGGAATGCGGTTTTTTGGCCACAAACAATTTTCGTGAGTTTTTGGCTTGCAATTACAGCTGCAAGCGTTTTGGCTCAGCTAACTGTTGAATAGCAGCAGCATCATCATCATCAACAGCATCATCATCATCAGCAATAGCCACATCATTGTGAACATCTTAGAGTCCGACTTTTAATTAAAAGCTTGCTCAACGCTTCACTTCTGGTGCAGCTTCTGCTTTTGCTATATTAATGAAGCCGAATGGCGAGCCATTGGCTTCCAGTATAATTTGTGAGCCGCCTATACATAGCTGGCCCATTTTTAATTAGTCGAAGCTCTTTAGCATATGTTTTACTGCCGACTGCACAACTTATGCAATCGGCCGAGCGCTTTTTGGTCAAATGCAAATGCCACAGTCAGCGGACTGCGGACTACAGACTCCAGATATGGCTACAGATTCGAGTTTCTGTGTCTGTTGCCGGTTCCGGCTTTGACTTGGACTCTCACTCTCACTCTCACTCTCACTTGACTTTAATTTATGCGCATGCGTGTTGCTCTTCAGCTGCTGCTGCTGCTGCTGCCGCCTCTTTGTCTTCTTCATCATCAGCTTCTTGTGGCTCTTATTTATATGAATTTTATGTATTTTATGCAACGACCTTGCTAGTCGTTTAGCTTGTCAGTCTAGGCCTAGGATCTGTCAGTTTACAGATTATGGCTAATTAAAAAGTCGGTGCTTGATTATTAATTAGAGCCGAGCTGATATTAGTTCGTTGCCTAAGTCTTTTGTTGCCACACTCAGAAAATGCATCCCTCTCTCTCTCTCTTTGTGTATGTGTGTGTTTGTGTGTGTGTAATTGTCAACTTGTGCCACATGTGCAACACGGCATCGCTGGTCACTTAATTTGTTATGAGTTTTGCTTTCTGATTATTATTATTGTTGTTGATTTTTGCATAACCTGCCTACCTGTTGCTGCCACCTGTCTGCCTGTCTGTCTGTCTGTCTGCCTGCCTGTTGTTTCAACATTTCGTTCAATTGCATTTCAATTTACTTAGTAATTTGCTATGGACAAATATGCAAAAACCAAACTGCAATTGCAACTGCAGCTGGTGACAAACTTGCCCAATGCCTGGGCCTGAGGTAACAGCTAGAGAGAGAGAGAGAGAGAGAGATGCAGATAGGCATAGAGAGAGGGAAAGGGCGACACAGGGCGAGAGCTAGAGGCGTCCGCATGGGCGTTACAACGAGAGGTGTCAATTACTTACGTTATGTGTGCTTGTGTGTGTGTGTGTGTGTGTGTGTTCATGCATGCTGTATAGCTAACAGAAGACAATACGAGTGGCGCAAGCTGGGCTAATTAATTGCAGAGACACCCTGCAAAGCGCGATTGACAGCTGGGAAATGCTTGAACATAAACGGAACTCGAATATATATAGAAGCAATTGATAGAGTGGGCTTTACATAGAAACAGTTTATTGAATTTCAAGTCAAGTTCTTTTCTGAGTTGTGGACTAAAAAATACCCTGAGCATATTTAATATATGACAGCACTAGCAGAAGTGATTTATTTGAAATATCTCTTAAAGAGATTATGATATGATAGTTGGAAATAAACATGAGCTAATTGTATGATAAATAATCCCTTCCACCTTTTCTATAACTATAGTCCTCCTGTCAGATATTCTGTATAATAATAAAGATCAATTGGGTTTCTCTTGCTTTCCCAGTGTTTCTGTATCTGTTGCTAATATGACTGCCGTATATCCTATATGGATGTCTGACTGTGTGACTGTCTTATATTCTGTAAAATAATAAAAGCCACTCAAATTTCTCTAGCCCTAATACTGAGCGTTCTTTCTTCTCGTTTACCAATACCCCATATTACTTATACTTAAATCTGTTTACTTATTTATTCTGATACGCACGATTTCTTTCCTTTATTGGTGCTACTTGACTTATGTTTACTTGACTGCACTTATTTGCCAATTCTCTTCTGTTGTACATACTTTTGGTTGCCTGCTTTTGAGTTCCTTTATTTATACTTAAGCTGCTTTACTTATAATTCTTTTTCTTTGCTTGCCCTACTAAACTTATATTGGCTTCTTTTCTCTTATGCTACTTGACTTTGATTGAGTTTCCCTTTAATCGCCTTTGTTTAGTTGTGCTACTTGACTTAGACTGACATCTCTTTATAAGTATTTATACTTACATTGAATGAC